AACACTGTTCCAGTTCTGACGACCAGCTTAAGACATTGTGACTGGTTGTTGTCCAATAATAGCTAATAAATACATCTGCATATTTGTGTATCTCTCAGTCACAAACAATGCTTAAAAATATTCTTTCTGTGTTTGGAGTTGAGGGTAATTTGGGATGGTCATTTATAACAGAGGCACTTGGGAACAATAGTGATCAATAGTTGTAATAGTGGCAGAGTATAGTAACAAGAAACTGGTAATGTAAATGTATTTTTTATGTGGAACTGGATGATCATTCAATGGCTATAACCACCTTCATCGGTAATAAAGGTTTTCATGGATAAAGTATGAAAGTGCATAGGATTAAGAGTCTCAGAGATAAATTCTACAATATTGATACTTCCCACAAGTGTCATAGAAAATGATGCTGGGGAAGTGTGGGGATGTAAACATTTTTTGTCCTAACATGATAGACAACAAACTGAAAGATTGCTCCTTACATGAACTCTCCTCAGAAGCAATAGCCTCACTGGAAATTCATAAGTGGATTATACCATGTAACTAAAAAGCCATCCTAGAAGCAGGTATGCTTCTAGAAGCAGGTATGCTTCTAGGCAATTAATATCCAAATTTCCAGATGTTGGTAAGAGTTGGAAATTGCTACCAAAACAAACAGCAATAAAAACTGGTAATCTGGCTTTGCAGGATTCAGTTTCTACTTGGTGGCACCACCAGCTCTGGATTGAATCAAAGGGAAGTACAGAGTACAGATCAGAAAAGACCATCTCTCAGGCTTCTGAGGATGATGAAGGTATGAAGAAGAGCCAAGCAAGAACCAAGTTTCCATTTTTAAACCTATTCTCCTAGCCCTACAGGAAGCTAAGGGTTCAGTCTTGGCTCTACCTTTAGCTTGTGTAAAAAGAAAAAAGGAGTGCTATGAGCAGAATGCACTCAGCCATGTATTAAATCTAAGAACTTTTAGCTCTCAGATTGTTTAGTAAGGAGGCATATGACACTTGCCCCAAGCATAAATGTCACTTGGTAGAAATGTATTTGAGTACACAGTAAAATGCCAGAACAGGAGGTAGAGGACCTTGGAGCTGTTTAGACCAAGAAATCCTATCACTAAATCAGTGTTAGAATCTCTTCCATCATCTTTCCAGTGAAATGAAGTCCAGTTTATGAAATGCTATCTATGCTTTGGGGATCACCATTACAGTAGTAATTTTGTGTCACTCTGTAGGATAACCTATGCTTTGTTACCCTACATGTCTACTTTAAATGCAACTATGGAAGCTTCAGTGCTTAAATATGAAGCTAGTCTCTGGCTAAGTGATAGATAACATGTTGCTTAACAAAGACCAGTAAGTCTTTCCTCTAAGAAACACTAAAATTTAATTCACAAAAGAGACCTAAACAGTGAATAGAAATTGTGTTTAAATGGTAAAGTTCCTCCCTAACACAGATAGGTTTAATTACCAGTTGTTTTGCATATTTTTCAATTATTCTTTCCCAAGAACTAGGAGTATCTTATATTTTACCTGTTTTAGCATCTTTGGCTGTCACATGCAAAAATTGGTTGTTTAAAAGCTGCAACTAAAATCAAAATAAAACTTAAGACTCACAATGGTAAATATTCCTGGATTAATAGAGTTGCATACTTCAAAAATTGGCTGAAGTCTCTGATATTAGACAGACAGAAAATTTATCTAGTTTTAGTAAATGTCAAATCAGCAGCTATTGCTTTTAAGATTAATAAAAGATGTAATGGTTTCTAGATAGACTCTAAATAGAGATTACTATGAATGGAGAAGTGATTTACCAACAGCCACCACAATGAGATTTCTTTAAAGGTTACAATCATCAGTTATTTAGCTGAAACACTGCTGAGAATGCCTGGTCATTTCTTGAATAATGCATAATGTTCATTGTAGATTTGATCTGTATTATAACAATACAGATATTTTTAAAATAATAGAAAAAAATCTGCTACCTTCCAATTGCTTAACATATCATTTCCATGAAGTAATTGACTCGGGACATATTACACACTGTCACCTGAGCGTTCTCTCGGCAAGCATAACTTGTAATAATCTGTATTTTACAACAGGCATCACAAAACAAACTCATCAACCTTTATAGACTGTTAAGAAAAGATGCAATGAATGCAGGGCAGAATGAAAGACCTTTCTGAGGCAGTAAATTTAAATGATTAAACTTCTATAGAGTTGTGTGGGACAAATTTGAATTTGAGCTTTGAAATTTAATTATTAACATGATCGACTCATCACATTAAAAATGTTGCCTACATGGTGTAAATACTTTTCATATGAATTTCCAAATGCCTGTAGGTTTATTCAAGAGACTGTTCAGAGAGGCACTGAATATAATGTCTCTCGTTTTTATTGTTGGATTATGAACTGCACTTCCCAGGATGCTGCAGGCTATTTATATAAGCTTGTTTATCCATATGAACTTCTTCAAGGGCACAACACAGAAGACCTTAATAAATTAAAATGAATTTCTTTTGATGTTGTTGTTTCATGAATGTTTGATCAGAATGAGTAGCAGTTTTGCATTAAAGAAGTCAAGTAGAGCAATAAATTGTACATATATTCTTGCAGCAGAAGCAGCTTACAGAAAGTGCCCACTGCATGCTAGGAATTTCTGAGATTTAGAAAAACAGGATGGATGCATTGGGCTTGGAGTTAGTGCTAGCTTACTGTCTTATTTGCTGAGAAAAAGTAATATACCTGTATGAACTTAGATGCTCTGCTATTATCTAGTGGGAATTTTCTTTTTAATTGTAAGAATTTCTATGTCATTTTAGGCTTCTAAATGCCTATCAAAACCTTCCTATTTCTCTTAGGGACAGCTGCATACATTCCATAGACTGTAACAACCATAGAACAGAGACCACATTTTAACTCCATGATATTAGTTATACAGTTGAGCTAACTGGAAGCCACAAAATATAAATTAATTAGTCATAGTCAAAAACTGAGAAAACTCTCCCTTGCAATATTTTATGGTGGCAATACAAAACAAGTATCATTTATAGAAATGGTATGTGAGAGACAGAGCATTAGGAACACAAGAAAACCAGATTCTTGTCTTATATCTGTTAACAATTATAAGGTCACATCTCTTATATGAAAAATGAGGCATTCATAAAAGTTATAATTCTAAACATAAGCTGGACTATCAAACTAGGTAGAATGGAAGGACAAGAAACATCATATTTTTCTACTTTGGTTTTCATATAAAAAGGACTATTCATCCCAAACTCTTAAAAATGGAAGTACTTATTACAATTTTATTCATACCTTTAGTTTGGGAGATAGTACTTCAGTATCAAGAACATTCATTAATACATTCTCAGTACTGCACTGCCAAGTTACTACTTGTATTCTCAAGAGTAGAAGGGATGTTCAATGACATCAGAAAGAGAGCTTCATTTACTGGTCATGAGCTACCATATACTGACATCCTACTTGTGAGAGGTACTCCAGTTGTGTGTTCTCCTCAAACTTTGAATAGCATAAGTTCCAGAGAAATGGATTTTAAACTATGGCCTGTGGGCCACCTGGAAGCTGCTGTTTTAGAAATACAATTTTATTCGAACCTGGGCACCTTCACTCATTAGCATAGTGTCTATGTCTGATTTCATGCTACAATGGGAGAGTACATACCAAAGACTACAATATTTACTACATGGTCTTTCAGCAAAAATATTTATCAATGATTACTTTAATTTTAATTTAATTTTAATTTTCCCCATAACACAAGCATAACACAATCCATAAATAATTATAGATTGAATATCCCTTATTTGAAATGTTGGATCCAAAGTGTTTCATATTTCAAACTTTTCTTCAGATTTTGGAACAAATGATATCTTAGAAATAAGAATGAAGTCTAAACATGAAATTCATTCATGTTTCATAAATGCCAAATATATATATATATATATATATATATATATGTAGCCTCAAGGTAATATTATATGATATTTTTAATAATTATATATTTGAAACAAAGCTTCAAGTTGTGGCATTATGTCGGTACTCAAAAGGTTCAAAAGTATCTGATTCAGATTCAGAATTTTTGGATTAGAGATGTTCAATCTATAACAGATTCACACACATACACACAGAGATGTACATGTGATCATAGCTTATAGCATGCATTTGTAAATAACCACTACTTTGATCTCTGTAACTCAATGAATATCTTATAAAATTTTATATCTCACTTCAAGAACCCTTTCCTATAACAGCTGAGGCTACAGGGCCTCTTCCAGAGGAAGCTGTAGGGTGCCATCATATAACTAGAGAATCAAATCCCCCAAAGAGATTACTTGCAGCTGCCCCAAATGTCAATTTTATTCCATGTTCATCAAGGGTTTAGATACAAGGCTGGGACATAAGAATCTAGCAGCTCCTTTAAATCAGATGCCTTGAGGTCTTAAAGATAGGGAGTTAAAGGCCAGCATCATGTATGCATCAATAAATATATACTTGCATATTTAAATGCTAAAAGTGGTATAATTTACCAGGAGTTTCAGAAATGCACAAGAAAATATCTTAAATATCACAAAACTAGACCTCTCATCTAAATGCAGTAAATGCATTAAAGATTTAAAGAACAAATACATATTTATACTCTTAACTTTTAAGCAATATTTCTATAGAGAAACACAAAACATTAATGCATTGATTTTGTGGTCATTAAAATCATTAACTCAAATGCCTGCTCCAGTTGGACTCTGCTCGCTTCCTCTCTTTGGTTACATAAAGCATAACTTATCAGCTCCACCTTTTAGCCAATAATCTCAAACTCCACCCACCAAGAAGAATCTGATACATTAATAACATCACATAAATAAAAACCCAGAAGACTTTAGCTGGGAAAACCATTTAATTCCCCTCTCTCTGAAGCTTCTTATTTATAAAGTAATAGAATACTTAGGCTGATAGACTATTTGACAATAAAAGAGAAATAGAAGAGGTTTATTTCACCTTCACATGGTGTCTTTCTCATGCAGAGTTCAGATTTCCACATTTGTATCCCTTTAAAGGATTTGATATGCAGGAAAAGAAGAAAGGATGTTGGTAAACATTTCATCATATAGACATCTACAGACCACCATATTCCAAATCAAACAGTGGCCTAAGACTTACCTTTTACTGAGGTGTTAGGTGGAGGGCCTTCCATGCGCAAGTTCCACGGAGGGTCTCCTTGGTTAGCAAAGTCCCTCATTTTCAGATAGCTAATTGTAAGTCGGATGATGGATGCTTTATCAAGCTGGCTGGTAATGGCTGCAGGAAGCGGCAACAACTTGGCCAATTCGTAGAACTCAAAATTTTCTTTTCCCCGCCGGGAGCGAGCAGCATCTCGAGATTTCTCCTTTCTCAATGCTTGTAAACTGAAATCAAGGGAGTAGGGAAGTTGTTTAGAATATAGGGTTTTGTCATTGGACAGAAAGTGGTTTAAGTCTTGGCTTTTCTTTTCCCTCCCTATCCCACCCAAAAGCTACCAAAAAAACAAATTTCAAACATGAAGGGCCAGACAATGGCACTTTTCTGGCTTATCAGAAATTCAAGTTCAAGGAGTAAAAATTGTGTTTTGTTAGCTCTTGTTTCGTAACAAACCTAAACACACATATGGAGTTACATCCATTGTTTCTGAGACATGACGTTTAGAGGTGAGGCTTGATGTGATTTGCTGTAAGAAATTGAAAAGACTGAGTGTGTGGCTCATATAACTATTCTCAAGTTAATGATTTGGTTCATTCAACTCTTGTCACCAGGGGATCTTAAGCCATCAAAAGGAAACATTTTGAAATTTTTATTTTAATTACTGTCTTGGGGAACAAAGGTAAACACGAACACAATTCACTATGACAGAATCAACAAATATCATGCTGATGTGTTTCCATCTTTCTGTTAGGATCATGACACCTTCAGTCAGGTGAAGAAAACAAAACATCTTGATTTAAATGCAACTTCAAAATAGTGCTGATGTTGATAATACTGTAATAATACTGATAATACTGTAACTCCTGATTAGTAGACATGTATTTGTAGATAGATTCTTTATGATACTAAAGAATACATTGCCAAAAAAGTCAAACTTTGGGATAACTTAAAATTTGTGTTGAAAGATAAAAACTCTTGTCTAGGTTATTAAAATTTATAAGCATTATAGACATATTACTTCACAGAAGAGACAACAGGTAGAATCCAGCGTTTTCCTTTAACTATTCATGTGCATTTCTGTTTGAAGTTAGCTCACATTGCTGAGGGCAGAATCTGGCACAACTGAGGGTGTGTGTGAACATCTGATGAGACAATTCCTCTGAATTGCTCTGTCTGTTTTGTGTCTGATGAGAAATGCATTCAGATTCAGAACCCAATGATAAGTAAATGACTAATATTGACAGTACTGAGTTATCAGTAAAATAATCATTAACTATCCACACTATTAAACTCTGAAGGCCTTTTAAATCTATGTGTTCCCATTATAAAATAAAAGAAGCTTGGTATTGTTGGCTCATGCCTGTAATCCTGGCTGCTCAGGAAACTGAGACCTTACTCAGGGTTTAAATCAGGAATGGCCATGACACTTGTATCTCCAATTAACTACCAAAATGTTGGAAGTGAAGCTGTGGCTCAAGTGGTAGAGAACCACCCTTGAATAAAAAAGCTATAGGACAGTGCCCAGACCAAGCTAGGAGTTTAAACAGCAGTACAGGCATGCACACACACACGCACGCACGCACACACACACACACACACACACACACACACACACACACACACACACACACACACCAGGAATGAAGAACACAGGAAGTCTGGAAGAATAGGTCAGAATAATGTAAAGCGTGACTGTTCTCTATGAAGACACTATGGAGAAAAATATGCCCCACTTTATCCTAGTATCTGACATTGTTCACTGTGCAAACTGCATGCAACACAAACACAATATTTGTCTTTATATCTGTGTTATTTGAGAAATGCCATGATGCTCTAACCAGATTTGTGGGTTAACATCACAATCAAGATATCACGTGCATTCTAGTAATAATAGTTTCTATATTAGCTAACCACATTTATCTCAAACCTAGACAAAAAAATGCTATCACTTTCAGAGTCAGTCTCAAATGATAACCTAAGGCAACAACATCACCAATTTACATGGAAAGGGCATATGATGTCATTCATTTCTTAATATCTTAGCTACTATTTATTTGATTCTACAAATGCTCAGATTTGACAATAAAAACCATGTAAGCAAAGTGAGAATCATCTTAAAATCCAACAGAGTATATGTGACCAGGGTCCAGTTAACATCTATGATTTTAAAAAAACCACCTTAGGTCTTCGTTTAGACAATGAGCGCAATTTATGTAACCACAACTAGGTTGGCTGTGTCAAAGGAATACCGTGTTTTGACATGTTTTCTCCATCATTTATCCACAGAGGAAAGTGCAGTTGTTCAAGCTTAGTGCTTTGCTTTTTTTCCTGGTGGTTAATTGGAGATAAGAGTCTCACAGACTTGCCTGCCCAGGCTGGCCTTGAACTATGATCCTCAGCTCTCAGCCTCCTAAGTAGCTAGGATTATAGGCGTAAGCCACCGGTGCCCAGCAGTGCTTTGCTTTTATGTGTAATCCTGCAATCAAAAGCTATTGCAGAGGATAAGCTAAACTTATATTCAGTTTTTAGTTCAGTAAGTGACTATGATGGAGCTCTAGAGCAGCAGTTGCAAACGCCTTGAAGATTACTGTGGGGAATGTCACAATACAGAAGGGTCCATGGGGACATAAGAGGTCAGTAACCCAGCAAAGGCAAGGGAGACATAGTTCTAACTGACCACTGCCCTAGGAAAGCTCATTTGCTATTCCAGATATCCCAAGTTGCAATTTCTGGAGAAAACAAAAATATGAATTGTTATATGACATTTTCTAATTTTATGTTAACTCAACTTTTTATATTACATAAGCCAAACAATCATATTCAAACATGGATCACTTTATGATTGGGATCATGGATTAATTTTATAACTGGTAATAATTTGGAAAGCCAGTTTTCAAGGTAGTTTTACATGGATGTTATGTCTAATTTTTCCTTTCCACCTATCACCCAAATGATCACAAATGAATTCATTATCTAATTAATATTTCTAATACTTAGTCTAGAAATTTCTCTATGCAACTCAAGCAAAGTGGATGATTAAGCTATCATTCTGAAATTGATATTAATGCATGGGCTTGTCAATAAACTAAGAGAAAAAAGTGCCCATGTAATTGTAACCCCTCTGTACAGTATTTTCACAATAAAAAAAAATTAATCCTCAGGAGGGCCAGAGACAGTAAAGGGGGAGAGAAAAAATGAGTGTTGACCAATGGCCACTAACTTATGGTTAGTTAGAATCAAGAGGTACTATTTCATCGTCTGTTGTACTATAGCATCAATGAGTATACATTTTGAGAAACTTAGAAGAAATGATTTTGAAAGTATTCATCAAAAAATTATAAATGTTTGAAAAATAGATATATTTATCCTGATTTAAGCCATTATGCAACAAATACATGTGTGGAACATGATTATACAATTTCCTAGTAATACTTATCTCTTTTATGTTGTTGTGCATCAGGTAAAGACAACAAAATTTTAAAAACACATAGCTTAATTTTAGTAAGAAAAAAAAAAACATTCTGCTTCTTGAGTGATGACGGAAATTAACTGAGCAGGCTCCAAAGGACAGAGAGTTGTGATATACTCCAAGAAGAGCAGTAAACAGACATGGATGTGTTGTCTAAACATCGTGCTTCTCTAAAGAGCAATCAGGACTCATTTTATGTGTGGCACTTCATGTCCTTGTTTTCTTCTCCACCTCCTGTCTCCCCCCCCATCTCTATCTCTAACTCCCACTACATCCCCTTACTAGTAATAAAAGGTTTCTATGACTCTCATATCTCTTCATTATGCAAATGCCATAGTTCAGGAGACTTTTAGAACAACATCACTATGTCTGTAATAAGTAATAATTAATAATGAGGGTAACACATAAAATACAGTCAATAGATTATAAAGGCAGTGGAGATGCTAGTATACTAGATGAAGCTAAAGACCTTAAGGCAATAACAAAGTTTGTGGATTAATCTTTTGCTTGCTTTTGTGAAGTAGGGACTAAGTTATAAGCAATTTTCAAATGGAATTAAGGACTACATTAAAGCCTAAGGTAAACTTTGTGTTTGTGTATTTTGTTCTAAACAAACAAACAAAAAAACCCTGGCCATATATGTGGAATACTAAAGGAATGGACATTTTGTACATGAATAAAAGGTTATAGTGCCAGTCTCTACAATCTAAAATATAATTAAATTTTGGATCCATCCACAAGTAATTTGATCTACACTTCCCCATGCTCTATGTTTTTCCATCTAGACTCAAAAGAGCAGAAAAAAAAGTTTTTTTAATCTCTAGCAGATACTGAACAAATATCAACTCTTTTTGATGACTACATTATCATCTTCAACAACAATAATCATCTCAGGCATAGATCAACAAAAAAGTCATCATTCACTTATATCCACTAATATTTTTCCTCCTTTGGGTAGCATATACAGAAGTGTGTGTGTGTGTGTGTGTGTGTGTGTGTGTGTGTGTGTGTCAAGGGGAGATAGTAAATGATTTTCATATTCTCATAAGGGGTCCAAACCAAAAGGGTCATTACCTTTTACCTAGAATTCCATCTTATAAGGACATGGAATGTAGAGCCAGACTGCCTTTTATAAACCCTGGCTCTATTGCTGCCTGATTGTGTAAAGCCGAGTAAGGTGTTAACTGCTATTGCCTCAGTTTTTCTTGTCTGTGAAATATGCTAACACTGTTCCCCCTTCATTAAGATTTTTTACAAATAAAATAATGACTTTTTGTTGAAATGCTTATAATGCAGCCTGACATATACATGACATGGTTAATGAACACCTAAGCTCAGTTCATGGTGCTAGTTCTATTCTCTTTTCTTTTCTTTTCTTTTTTTTGTCGGTTGTGGGGCCTGAAGTCTGGGCCTGGGAGCTATCCCTTAGCTCTTCAGATCAAGGCTAGCACTCCACCAATTGAGCCACAATGCCACTTTTTCTGCTTATGGGGTGCTGAGGAATGAACCCAGAGCCTCATGCATGCAAGGCAAACTCTGTACTACTGAGCCACCTTCCCAGCCTGCTAGTTCTATTCTTAATCCACAAGTCTCATTCATAATATACTATCTTTTTCATTAACAGGATCCCTATTCCCTAACACAGTATATTGTGTACTTTACTGAAACAAAATTCCCTTATGACTGAGATACTAAGGTTCTCTCCTAACATAATCATTATTCCTATGGTTTATTCACTGTATATCACAAGTTTGCTCA